GGCCTGCATGAGTCACTTGTCTTGAGTTCGAATACAAATCTCAGAGCTCGTTTTTGAAGGACGAAAACACTATTTGAGTGACAATGACAGCTACATCCCCAGAATGAAATTCCATATCTCGGATTCGATTCAATAAGTGAGTAGTATGCCGATATTGGAGTTTGTAATCCGAGTTCATGGGATATCATATTGATTGCGAAGCAATCTGGGGATATTTTTTTTAAGAGCTAATATATGATGGTCAAACTTCAAATTGCTATCTATGTGAACACCAAGAAATTTCGTGACAGAGTTGCTCTCAATGCGTTGATCTCCTAGCGTAATTTGTTCAGCCTCAGATTTGAATGTCTCTATAAATTTGTTTTAGAAACATAAAGAGTACTCCGCGAGGTAATTCTTCAGATGAAAATAATGAAGGTATTGAAGGTAGGTCCTTGCATGCAAATTTCTCCAATTATCTTTGTATTCATTGATTCTAGAATCACGAAATTTGGCACCTGATTGTGATTCAATCCTACAATTCAGATCGTGGTGAGAAAAACATAATTTATTATACAGGGAGGTGTGAAACCAATGCTTTGTATGTTAACTTCTCTCGGCGATTGAAACACCATCGTAGGTAATTCAACAGTTTATTACTTGTTCACTATCATACAACGACCATAGAATGCAACGACTACTCAATACCGATAAACTACCATTCATACTGCCGACTTATTAAACATCCAACTGACTCATACATTCTTCATCTCATGACGACTCATGAACTTTACTCATTATATGATTTCGTTACACGTACGACAAATATTCATGTAATTTCTTATCCTCCAAATAAGATCTTCTTACAATTGTCGAAGTTCTGCTACTATAAATAATTGGGCTACCCTGTATGAAAATTGGAGAAAATAGAAACGATAAAATAGATCTAATTCAAACCACAAGTGATGCACTTTTTGAATATCGCAACAAACATATTATATGGGTGCATATTATAATCAGTAAGAAGAAAACACTAACAAAATTGAAAACATTCCCAAATTGTCTGATAGGTTTTCATATAATGTCCTATAAGTATATAGCAATGACCGTCGATTATATTCCTCCTACAACAGAAATCGATATAATTCGTATAAAAATTTGTAATACAATGTGGTAATATCGAGAACAGTGCGAGATACGAAGTGAATAGATTGTATTAAAAAACTTTAGGTTGATCGTATCGAAATACATCGAATCAAGGTATTTATTTCCTGTATTTCCTGAAACCTCCTGAAAAATTGCAATTTGCTGTTGATTTTCATAATCATTCATAAAATTCATTTTAATTGATTATCTGGGATTTTGATTGCTCTTTTCTCTGAAATAAAAATATGAGTACTATTTCAATATATGAGTAGTAGGACAAATCATATGATTTGCCCCAAAAGGTCACTGCTTAACAAATTTTTCTATCAGGGAGCCTGAGAAAAAATCCAATAGCTTATCAGTGACACTTTGTTTGGAAAAATGTCCGAAGAAAAGAAATATAGATATATTCAAAAAATATCGAAATTTGAGTAATCTTTGGACGTTTCGGAAACGAATCTTTTCCCGTTCTCAACATGAAAATGCAAAAATATTTTTCTTTGAAAGTTATGCTCTTATAGTTTGACAGTTTTGATGTCCTATACTTCACATCACCTTCAAATATATTGGAATAGTACTCATATTTTTATTTTATAGAAACGAGGAGCGAAAATCTCGAATAATCAAGTAATAGTATATTTGGAAAGAGATTCATTCCTGTCGTGAGATTAGTTAGTTAACCGAGACACAAAGCGTCGAGGTTAGCTATGATCTCGAGACAGGTATGAAACTTCCTACCGGGGTTTGTATACTATTCTATTCACAACCATCATATTTCGATCAGAATTGATAAATCTCTGTTGCGTTCTGAACATACCTAAAATATTACATAAGTGAGGATGGGAAGTGAGGGTGGGAAGTAATGAGGGCGAGAAGTGATAGCGGGAAGTAGAGGTGTGAAATGTGATACTTTACAAACTTCAATGACGTTAGTAATTTGCCACCTCCTCGATTGACCATCAGACAGCATCCATATATCGTCGCTATGAAATCAAACCGGCGTATCTGCAGAACTACTATTTCTCACCAGAGCGCTTCAAAGTTTTTCTTCTTGTTTATTTCTGTATATCTACTATCATCTAAGAGCTATCTTTTTTGTGCATAAAATTGAGTTTGGTGACTTCAAAGTTTATAATATAGCTATAATTTGCAAAAGCGTCTGGAGTATCTGCCAATAAGCCACGCCTGTGCAGATTAGAGAGAGTAGTATTGGGAGATAAATAGGTTTTACTGACAAGCTGCAGAAGTATTCACCACGACATCTCATGCTGGACTGACGCATTGGCAATACACCTGTTAACTGCTTATAAACATACTGAATTCCGCCAAAATTCATACCGGCACAACGGTACCTGACTGATCACAAGGATCCTTCCTATACATATGCCGGTTTGACTCACTCAAAGAGGTGAAAAAAATGATTTTTTTGACACCAATAACTCAAAAATCCCTTTTTTGCAGATAAGCCGTTTTGATTTAACAGCGACGATATGTTTATTATTTTCGCTAGGAGATTGGAGATTATAGAAAATATACTGAAATCGTGTACTAATTTCAAAGTTCTATAGAAAATTTTATAGACACACGATAAAGATTCGAAGTTATCACAGGCCACTTTTTTTTCCTCATAGGGACCACAATTGACTTTCACACTAAGTAGGGTCTGATATCGCCAAAATACAAATAGTAGGGCATCATGTCCTCTTCGCGAATATCCAAACCTGCAACGATTCAAACTGATCTAACTTAGTGGCAGAGCTTCGTTATTTCTGCCGAAAGATGATATCCGATGAACCAGATTATCGAACGGATAGTCCATCGATTATTATATCTCGACCAGGGCGAAATATTCCCGGAAATATTGATGCTCTGCCACTAACTCAGATCTCGTTGACTCGCAGCCCGTTTTGATATTCGCGAAGGGAACTATCCCCTTCTATTTGCACTTCCTTTCAACTCATTTTCACTTGCCGAGGATTTGACTCAATTTAAGGCATGGCACAGGTAGGATTTTGGGATTTATTACCATTCAATTGATATTGAATTGTGTGCAAATTACCGCACAGGAAAGTGCGATAATCTGCACAATCTTGCTCAGGATGAATTTACATGCCCTTGAGACATGAACATCCCGTTATCGTCAAAATTTGCAGCCGGCTCAACATGAAACAAATTAATTCGAATTCGAAATGGAAACAAATCGATCCTTCACTTTGATTCACTTAAAGATTCCTTTGAATAAGATATATAGAAGGACAATATACACATTGACCTAAACATTTTAGGCGGAAAGCGAAAGAGAGATTTTGAATGAAAAAAATCATCGCTAGAAACCATCAATCACCTCGAATTCCATATAAATAAGACTAATCTAAGACTAATCGATTCCTCTCCTTTTTTATCTACAGAAAATATGTTCAAATAAAAGAGAAGAGGGTTATTATCTGTTATATGAACTTAGAATAGGGGCCAGGTAGCCGTGCGGACAGAGTGTCCGTATTCTAATCCGCATTCGCTTTCCGGTCGTGGGTTCGATTCCCATCGACTGCAGAAATTTTTCTGATGGCCCAAGAAAGTGCTTGGGATCACACGTTAAAAGGTAAGGCCCCCGTCATTCCTTGCTCGCACAAGACTCTCGAAGACTTCTGAGGGTAAGGGGGCAACCGAATGACGGATAGAACAATTTTAGAATGAAAATCAATCTAATTTTCATCTGGTATTTTTCACAGGTACCTAATACAATTAACTTTGAAAAAAAGAGGGCTACGATGGAGGCAAACAGGGAAATTTTATTGACTAACGCCATAAAATGGAAACTACTCGATACAAATGTCATGAAATGGAAATCAATTAACTCTTCACCTCGACTTTTCTGAGCTGCTTGGTGTATAGTAGAAAAACTGCCCGTATGAAAAGATCTGGGATATATGACCTAATTTCTTAGGCCGAAATCACGTTGGTGTGATGTAGCAATTTGGTGGAACTTGGTCAGTAACATCACACCACCAGTAAGTGACGTCACTGTAACGTTATCTTTTTGACGTGGTAATCACGACGTCAAAGTGTCTTCAATTATACATCATTTATATGTATATATATAGTATATCGAAATCGTCGCTCCTATGATGTCGAAATGAAGTATCGATGATATCTGAAGATCAGGGTGGTGTGATATACCAATTTGGTAAGGTTTTTCCAGAGAATTTGTCAACTTGATTTTTGGTTAGGTACGGCAAAGGATACAAGAATATCCGTTTCTTCATCATGGACCAAAGATATTTTTATGGATAATTTTCTTGTCAACCTCACTCACTTTAACTAATATCAAAATTTTCAATATATTAACACCTTTTCGATTTCTCTCATGTATTTTCCAACATCTAAAAGCTAATTACTTACTTACGCACTGATGATGACTGTATAGTCGAAAGCGCTCTGCCAAGAAAAATTGAATGAATTATTTTGCACAAAATACAACATTTTGTACAAATATATCAGATAAATATGAATATGAGTTTGTGGTGCTTCTCTCATACCGAGTTTGGGAAAAGTTTTTTCACAACTCCAATTGAATTCAGACGTAATTCCGGTATATACATATACCTCATTTTTCACCTTGGTCATCTCCTGACGTGATGGAAATGTCGATGAAACGTCATCTGGTTGCCTGTGTCGGCATTTTTTTCCAGAATGAATTTATCCGTAATTACGAATCACACTGCGTAAAAATTGTGTCTACTAGTTTAATGGGTGAGACACATTGATCAATATTTCATCAATTATCCGCTTCTTTGATATTTCACCCCTCGGTTTACTTCCGGAAATATTCTAACCATAGTTACCATCGATTCAACTGGCAGACAGCTGTTATTGTTCAATACACTTGCTAATTTTACTTGTCGACATATTTCTCTGGTTTTTTGACTGGAGAAAGAATTTTATACTACTACCTATGGATATTTTTCATTTTTATATCAGTTAACTCGTAGTCAATAATGAATGGTGGAAATTCGGAATGTTGTAACGGCCCTACAAACCGGAAAAAAATGCCACAAGATATTCTCCTTCCAAGTCTGTCCCCTGGATATTACCAACATGTGAGTAATTTATTCTTTCAATTTGATTTAATAGCTTCGAAGATAAATCGAATTTGGTTAGCCTATACACATGCAACCTCTTCAGATCTGATTTGTCTGCCTTCAAAATCGAAATTGATAATTGAAGTTAATTGGCCGTCTTCTGGTATGAATGTTCACTAAATATGGAAATCTCGAGAAATCCTGTGTTGAAAGATCGAAGAAAAAATCATATCTCCTGTTGATTCTCCTATATAAAATGTGCTATTGAAGTACATTATGAGTATATTTATAAAGTCCAATGACAAAATAAGAAGAGCCACTAGCAACTTTTTCGTTAAATATCTCGATAAATAGTGGCTTGTTCACATTTTCATCATCAAATTCGTGTTTTTCAGACGAAAGTACGAATATTTGACAAATAAAATATTCGAAAAACCAACTGTCGCTTGATAAGTGCAAAATGACCATGTCTAGCAATCTATCTAGAGCCTAGATGTACTATGTTCTGTCCTCTTGGAGGATGTGGATCCACAACTGAAACCGTATATTTCAGCACTGCAGTTGATATTTGTAGTAAAGTTGTTCCTTTTGGATGTAGAATCACCCCGAGGTATCTAACATCCCCCAACAATTGGATGGAGGTCCCTCGAAGTGTTAGAGGACCCATTCCCTCTATAGCTTCCTACTTTGGGTGAAGGCTATTATGATCGATTTGTAGGCATTTATGCTTAGGCTCTCTTCATCAGTGCCGGTTTTAGAACTACCAGCGCCCTGGGCAAGAATTCTACGGCGCCCCCTAAAAACCAATATATTTCATTTTTCTAGCCTTTGTATTGACAAACTCTTTCATTCGATCAACAAAGTCAATATTTTCAGCAATTTTATTTTCAATTGACAAAGTTGTCAAGTTTGTCAATCTAGATTGAGGTATTGTCGATCGCAGATAGGTTTTTATCACATTAGGCTCAGGAAAACTGAAAAGTAGCAACCATTACAGGTATATAAAGTCAATAATATTCGCAATGCTAATCATACATTTTGATAAAGTTCTTTTTAGTTGCGATCTTTTATAAAATTCAAAACATATGCAGGGGTAACCAAATTCTGATTAGGTGAGTTTATCACACCACATATACCTTGTCAAAGGTCGAGTTGTTTTGAAATTTGTTTTATATATTGTACAAAAGTACCAAGATTTGTAGTCCTCATTCAACTTCGAATATTTCATTAACTGAAATGAATGATGAAATTAAGATATGGTGTAATTACTGATGCGCTTTTGTTTCAGAAATTTGACTCGGCTTCTCGAGAACAGCGAGAGCATTGCGGTTCCGTCGATCTTCTAATAGATGGCGACATTGCACAATTGTGAAATCTGTCAGTTTTGAAATTGTCGCAGATTTTTCGAATTCAGAGTTGAATAATCCCATTTGCTATTTTATTTCCACTCGTCACAGCAGCAATAGCACCATCACCATCTAGCAGGAAAATGTAGAATCAACGTCTCGCTCGTTGTGACGTAGAGGAATCATGGTAGGCGGTCGAGTGATTTTTCTGGAATTTTCACTACGTAATAATGGCCGAATACGCGCACCATATCTTACTTTCATCATTCTGAAATGAATGAAAAATTAAACCTGATTTTTTTCTGTAGAAGCTATTGGCACGTGGTGGGCAGTTTCACCAGCTTGACGCTCAACATATTGAATTATCCATGTGGCACTAAGATTAGGTCCAAGCTTAGGTTCAATTTCTAGTTCTTCAGCCAATTCCTCTGCAGTTAAAATAGCGATTTCAGAGTTAGTATTTCTATATTCTTACGAGAAAGTGCAGCATTCTTTCAACATTTCTGTGCATTTACTGAGATCTATATCTGTTGATTGTGAGATGCGCTAATGACGTTGATTTGAAAAATTTGAGGAAATTATAGAGATTTTTGCGGCGCCCCTTTTCATCCGGCGCCCTGGGCGGTCGCCCAACCGCGCCCTACCCTAACGCCGCTACTGCTCTTCATCTATCAATGTGTTGACCAGGTTAAAGGCCATTTGCATCCTCTCCCTAACCGTGTTGTAAAGTCTTCCTTGGGTTGTGGTGATTATGCCGTCTGCGTACCCAAGTGTTTTGTGTCCATTCCTGTTTAATGTGCCTAACAGGTCTTTCACCACCAGGTTCCAGAGCAGTGGGAACAATACACCCCATTACGGACATCCCCTAATGACCTTAGCTTCCAATATTTCCCCCACTAGAGTGGAATATGTAATTCTTTCTCTCAACATGCATCCATGCCATCCGGTCCTGGCGATTTACACTGTTTGAATAAGTTTATTGTCCATTTTGTTTTCTTCACGTCAGTCACTTTTGTTGAGACCTGCCATTTTTTCCTTGATATCCTTAAGGGGGTTCCAGTTCTGAGCATTATCTGCTGAATATGGAGAAAAAATCTTGTGAGCTGTAGTTACAGATAATGGCTACACTGCTTTGTTGAAAATATTTTGAATTCTGAAATATAAGCATACATATTCTCATAGATTTCTCCCGACTGATTCTCGATATGGAGATAGTGTGAGCTCGTCGTAACATATACCCTGTGTACATTTGCAGATGACATTATTTGGAAAAAAAGCTTTGATATGATCGAGATATAGTTAATGATATTACAGTGGTAGATGAAGGTCACATGGATGCCTATGAAAATTTGTTAATATACATGGTATTCCATTATTTAAAATTGTCCCCGACTCACTAGATTTTTTTTCGAACCGGCATTTCTTATTATGGACCTTGTTGTCTTATTCACACTCGTGTCTGAATCATATGTCCCTTTTTATCAAAGAATTCGAGTATTCGAGCTCTGACGAGCTATTGCCCCATTCTGTATATGTATAGGTACGTAGGCATTGAAATTGAAAGATTCATGACAATGCATGTGTAGAATTGATGTATTCAAATTTTTATCATGATACCTTTTCTTCTGATCCCAATGGTTACTGAGATGCCAGCAACTTTGTTTTTCCTCAAGGTCAAACGAAGCAATGGAGAGACTATTACCATACTTGCATCATCAATGAGCCCACGAGAGGCTGTTTTTGTACACTGGATAGGGGACTAGTTGAAAGGCTTCTTACTGATAATCTTCCTGAGAGAATGTTATGTTCAATGAACGAGAGAAGAATATTTCGATGTAAAAACAAAAAAAATTTAGAATTCATCTGCAGAAGTATTTCACGCTGGATATTTGAATCAGTTTGGATGGTGAAGACATCTTCAACTCTACTTCACAGATCATTAACGAATGCAAAAGAGTCATGACTATTAAAGGCTTCTGAATAAATCCTACCGACTGTGCCACCTTATGATAAATATAGTAACTGAATGTGAATATACTGAATTTCTAATGACGACCATATCCCATTATGAATCAATAGGAGTAGTATTCTGGCAATTATTCTCATTGGTATTATCATGACACACCCTTATTTTCTAGGTAGGCAGAAATCCGAACACAAACTCTTCGGTTCGAGCTTGGGAGTATAGGCTGAAAAAAGAAGATGACTACAAATTACAAGAGGCCATGGGTGTGAATGCTTATCTCAGAGATGCTATCATGGTCCAGTACGACAAACATACCGAGAAGAAGCAGCTTCAAAGACAGATCCGGGACAGGGTACAACAAAAACTCCAAGCTTATGAGGATACCATCGAAAAGAGAAGAGAAAAGTATAGATACCTAAAGCAGTATTATGTAATATGGGGTTGATAGTTTTGGAATGATGATGATGTTTTCAACCTGTATTCAGGATGATTTATGATGAGGTGTGTAACGTAGAAGAACAAATAGCGGATACGTAGTGAAAATCAAGAGTTCTTTTGACTATCCATAAGGAAGGTACCTAATAGGGTTAGATGTTGAATCGACATATGTATATAACCTTCGACAATTGATAATTCATTAATTATCTATCCTAAACCACTGCTTGCATATATTCATTGAGTGGAAGTTGACACGAAAGAAAAGTTGGAAGAAAAAACACGTAATCAAATGTTCTTTTAATCACTCACACACACTTCTACGAACTGTTTATTAAAATTATTTTTGGGAATGAATTAGCCTGCTAAACAACCAACGACGGCATAATGAGCATATTCTTTTTAGCGTTACAACAACACGAATTTTCCCATAGTCACATTTTGCATACACGACTATTAATGATGTCTTTATCCTCGTCATTATCTATATTTTTCTACTCACATAGCTAAAATGGCATTTAGCGTACGGATATGTACCACGGTAAATTATCTATTGATTTATTCAAAATATTAAACACGTTACCATGGCAACAGGATTTCAACACATTACCATGGCAACGCAGTTCATTAAACACAGCTTCAGTAATTTCAGTCATGTTCGGATCAGAATTATTCAAACAATTTTCTTGTGTATCAGAATTCTTCATTAAAAATATATGCGAAAAGTAGACGAGAGTGAAATCGAAGAGAATGTTCTGGTACTTGCATATCTCCAAGAAGTGTAAAAATGAAGCTTCCATCTTTGAGAACAATTTATTTATTCTGCGCTACATGACAATAAACGTGAAACGAAGGTTAGTAAGCAATGGACTGGACACATCTACAACCAATATCACTTATACGTGTCTCGCTGGTTGCATGCAGTTGCATGTATTATGTTCTCAACTTCCATTCCTTTCGAATTATTTTGTAGGTTAGCAGAAATTGCAGGTATCTCGATGTAATTTTCGGAGTTCGTAGAGAAATCATAGTATGTAACGCGTTTATAAACTCTTCTAGACACTCGTTTATTAAACACTCGCTCAGCTCTGCTCCGCTCGCGTGCTTAAACTACTCGTTACTAAAAGGACGTTTATAACACTTGTTACATAATGTACTATTAAGGTAAATATTCAACGTTGAGTTCGATTCGTTTCATGGGAGTCTTTTCCATCAGAAAAATAAGATTAAAAAAATCACCTAAACCTTCATTGAAAGTGAATTTTTTCAATGAACTGGTCAAAGTGTGCAGTGGGAATCGGAGAGCATGTTTCATTAGTTTTTTTCTGATTTTTTCTGAATCTGATATGATTTTGCTCGACAGTTGAATTTGATGAAAACACTGATAGTTAATCAATATACAAGGTAAAAAAGTAGTTGATATCAGCTCGGGGTTGTGTGTTGGTTTGAAACAAAAAGCCGTGAGCCAAAATCTAATATTTTACTGGTGTATAATGCACTATATGCATAGGAAAAAAATAATGAATATTGAGAAGATATCACATTATATTGAAATCAAAAAATTATCGACGTGAAATTTGGAGTTTTCAACAGGAATTACACCTGCGTTGCAGGCATCTTTATCATTCTGTTGAAGCATTCAAATAACTGTCAGCGTAAAAGTGATTTGATATTAAGAAATTGCGAACTCAGTGCTTGTTTAGTAAGTTTCTTAACTGCGAAGTCGGATTGTTCTGAAAAGAAAATGTTGTTGTTTTAAAATTGTTATTATCCGTCATTCGGTTTCCTTCTCACGAGCAACCCTCAAAACTCTTCAAGAGACTTGTGCAAGCAAAGATTGACGGGGGCCTTACCTTTTATCGTTTGATCCCGAACACTTTCTTAGGACATCAAAAAAATGTCTGCAATCGAGGATTCAAACCCTCGATCGTTGAGGGAACGCGATAGAATACTAACGTTTCAACCACGCGGCTTCCTGACCTCCATGGAATGGAAGATAAGATTTCTGTGACGGGATAAAATATTAACACTTCATATTCTCTGCTGACAGGTGATAAAATGTCACTTTCTATGAATTAATTTTTCCCACGAGAAAAAAGTGAGTTTAATTCACATATGACAGTGAGACATTTTCAGAATTGATAATGATGACATTATTCCAAACATTTTACATCTTCAAAAATTGCTTTCATATGTAATGAGATTGGTTGTTTCAACTATATTTGATTCAAATAATATTTCTTTCTGCATTGGTTGCACACGCATCGGTATTATGTGTGTAGGTTTATTGCATATCTTTGACAATATTGACAGTTTTATCTACCTAGGTAGAATTTTTTTGTCTATTTATCGTTATTCACCTAGGTTTGAAAAGGGTTACTTCTCATTAGAGGAAATCCTCGAATAATGGTGATTTCTCAGGTTAGTAGTGGAAAAAATAAATGTTTCAGTCCGGTTCTTCATTTTACTTCGCTGCTGAAGTTCAACAATCCGCGATTAATATTTTCTGAAATATCTCTCACCAAAGTTATATATGAAATCGCCCTCCATTCTAAAAGGACGTGAAAATATCAAGAGGTATCTTTGGGAGTGTTCTTCTACATATAGGGAGGGGGCCTGTGTATTTAGATCTATGGACATACACAATACAAGCAGCACTACAGTCCAGAGGAACTCCTCTCGCAATGGTCAGCTGGGTCGTATCGTCGCTGTCTAGAAGAAAGGTGGAAGTAGTTCAGGAAGACCATAGTCTGGATACCGTGTTTGAAGGCTAGAAGGACACTGTTTCCAAGAAAGTAACGCAGGCTCACATATGAAGTTTCGACGCGCAGGCTTACGCAGACGATGGATTGGTCCTAGTAAGCAGATGATTCCTAGGGGTCGATTGCGATTTTATGCTTCAAGTAGCCTGCAGGATAATCGAAAGATAGTGTTACGTAACATGGAATCTGTCTATGCGACAAAAACAGAGATGATCCTAATCTCTAACCGAAGGCAAAATTCCTATCATGTATGGCCAAGAGTTGGAGTTAGTCCTACAGTTCAAATAACTGGGTGTTGTCTTGGGACCCAGACTTTCTGGAGACCGCACGTATAGATAGGATTGTGCAATGTCGGTAGGTGGGAAAACTTGGGGTACTAACCTCGAGATTATGCGCTGGCTGCACACAGCAGTTGTAAGACCAAATATTCAATACCGATCAGCTGTGTGGTGGTCAGGCGCAAAAACCAGCACAATCAGTCAAATGCTGAGTGTGGTTCAGAGGATGTTCTGCCTGGCGATTACATGAGCATTGATGACGACGCTAACTGCAGCGCTGAAGGTACTACTGCCCCCGCTTCCAAGCTGGATTAAGAGGAAAGCAATGGTGGCCTATCTGAGGATGCGGGACTCTTGGAGCTGGGTTAACATCGAAACAATGCTAGGTCACAGAATACCCAACAATCGCGGAATTCATGAAATGGGTGCAGCAGGAGAATAGGTTTACCCTTTTTTTACCCTTAATGTGCCAAAGGGGTAATAGTAAGGGAACAATGAGAAGAGAACGGATTGAAATTTTGTCCATCAGGCAGTCCTTCTGAACTCAAGAGGCCAGTTGTCGACACTGTAGCATGCAGTGATCACGCATCAAGAAGGTGATAACCCCTAGTCACGCCTACAGACAAGGCATAACTGTCGCTTCGACCAAAAGAAGATTATATCAAATGTGATTACGCTTTAGTCAGTTTATTTACGCTGGCCTATTGGATTTGGCTATGGTATAGAATATTACATGAACGATTCGCGCCCAACTAACAAACATCACTCTGGTTCAGGAACATACCCAGAAGGAATTGGTATAAGAGAGAGCTACTCCCTAGGAAAATACACTCCATTTTTTCAGGTTGAAGTATTTTCCATTCTGCCTGTATAGCTGAGAGACCATAGAGAGGGACAAGTGGTGAGAGAGGGACCAGAGCAGAAGATTTATATCTACTGGAATAGTCAAGCAGCGCTGAGAGCAATTGGCCAACCCAAATTAAGCTCCACATTGGTGCAAGAATGTGGTGATGCTCTTGAGGAGCTGAACTGAAAAAAATCGAGGTAGTATGGATTCCAGGTCCCAGGGGGGTACTTGGGAACGAAGAAACAGACGAGCTGGCTAGAATCGGATCTGCGATACTGTTCCGGGGACCGGAGCCTGTACTGGGCGTTGCAAGAAGCCGAACTCTCTCCGCCTTCAACAAATGGTCGGACAAAGCACTGGAAGGATATGGAAGGAAATCGAAGGAGCGCCAAGTACTATAGGGGCACTGACAAGACACAATAGGTTGCGCATACACCTTAATTTCATGGATGTAGAAGATAGCCCCACTTTCCGTGTATGCAAAGAAGATGAGGAAACATCACTTCACTTTCTCGGAAGTGCGAGGCATATGGGAAGATGAGATTCGAAATTTTTGTGGTGGATGAATTACAACAAGATTATTTAATCGAATAGGACTAGACGGGCGTGGATGGACATCCTGATTTTCATCATATAAGGTCTGTGAGGTTCGAAGAGACAACTAACTAAAAGAAGGATGTAGAGAGCAGGGTGTGGCAAAAAGGGCCCAAAAGGGCCTACTTACCTGTCAGTTCCCCTCCTCACAATACTTCTTTTATATGATAATTTAATAATACCCTGTATCTCACTTATGGACCAAACAAACTTTTCATAAATACCTACATCAACTTCTCTTGATTTCCTCTATCCACTATTTTGCTATGTGGCACTCCTCATGAATCACCCTGAATGATAAAATCAATAAAAACATTTTTCAATCCGATGAGGTGAGGTGTCGGCTTCCATATTCATCAAATGGAATCGGAAAATTCGAATAGGAATATTCTGTCAGTGAAGAAAACTTTCCGTAATTGCTTCAATTACTATAAGCGGTTCTCTAAATTAGTGAAGTTTCCAACTATTTTGATATTATAGATCCGTGTTTTCATAAATATTCACGTATCAGGTTGAAGGAGCTTCTCTGCAATGAAGAGAGAAAATTCTACTCCGAAGTTATAGAAATAGCACAAAAAGGCGACGAAATGAAAATGGAGGAAATGAAGAAACGCGCACAAATCCTTAAAGCACGGCGAGAAGAAGATAGGTTGAAAATCGTCCACCAGAAGAGAATAGATCAATACAGGTAACAAAACTATGGTCCTTGTAAAAATCAAACATATCATCTATAGTTTTTCAGAGATCGATGTCAAGAGCTGAGGCCATCACTGATGAAAAAGCACATCATCGAAACCAAGAACGCCCAGTTTCAACAAATAAGAGAGAACGAGGCCCGACGGGAAGCTGATAGAGAACTAGATAGGATGTGGAATGATTTGAATGCCAAAGAAATGAGAGCAAAGGTGATAAACATCCTCACATGTCCAGGATTTTACGAGACTCTCGAAATTCGAGATTTCTCGTCTCAAAATCGGGAGCTTTTTTTTCAAGAAATGATTTCGAGGTTTCCCGATCTCGAAAAAATATATATGCTGCAATATCTCGCGCAGCCCCAAATACGTCATAAAAAGGAAAATATGAAAGCATGCTAAGAAATAATTTTAATTCATTAATTCATTCAATTACATCTATTGAACACACACAATAAGAATTTGAGAATAAAAATTGTCTGAAATCAAGAATTTAAGAATATTCCTTTTCATACCCAATCAAGGGCTTCAAACTTGCTGATGTTTCTACATACCAGTAATCACAGATTCGTGATTGGGTTATCTCAATTCACACAATCTATAGGTAAAAAAGAATATAAAATCGAGCACGAAGTTGTCAGGATGATCTATATGTCTGTGACATATCAAACATATAGACGCTTTTTTCTAATGTAATGAACTAAATCTCATGACATTTTTGGATAGACCTCTGAAGAAAGCCTGTTGATTTTTTTTCAATGATATTCAATAATATAAATGAGTCTGAGATCATTCGTTTGTAGAATCTACACCCTTTATGATGAACATCAATCCATCGAACAACCTACAAAATGCACCTTCTTCTCTCAAGTTGCATAGCAAAACTTCACTGAGATGAATTATTGATATTTATAGATGGAGCGGGAAGAACAAGATATCATTAATCAGAAGAATAGACAATTGGATCTTCTCAATGTTTGGCAGAAGCAAATCAAAGGGAAAGAACTACTCAAGGCTGAGATTCAAAAAGTAGCACAAGAAGACAAAATAGAAATGGATAATTTGAGAGATGAATTGCGAAGAGAAGAAATAGAAGGTTATTATCAGTTTTTTCGGACGAAGAGATAATCGCTAGACAATAATCGTAGAATTTTATTTTCCTAAGGCTATAACCCAAAATTGCCCGATAAATCAATGAGGTACTTTGTATATAATCAATTTCATCTCCGTATTTAATATCACAATGACTTCATGTCACAAAATCTCATCTCCAATGGAATGTCAAATTTCAGGAAATGAGAGCTCTGTAATAGATGAGCATCACTTGAGAGAAAATCAGCCAAAGAAATAAAAATTCCGCTGTTATCTGTTGCAGCCGTAGAAAAAGTATTGTGTATAAGTCGCACGGAATGCCAATTTCTTACCCGTATGAATTGCCTACGGCTCATGTTGCAAACTTCATTGTCGTCGGTCGGGTATGATTATCATTCCATGCTCGTCATATTATACACTTTTCATTACCTACTTACTGATCAATCTTATGAGGGTAGGGTATTATCAATGATTCTTGAGCTTTCCAGAGGTTTGATAAGCTCAATATGTTGATGGCTTTCTCCATCACTAATAAAAACGCGATAGGCCTATAAGTTGGGCGTAATTTGAATATCGATGCTGATAACAGAATCGATGAACCTGTTTTTGAGTACATCACGACTGAATTTCGATACATTTTTCCATTCTACATAAACAACATAATCTAATAATTCATACAGTTTCCGAGCCCAACCCAGCAAACTATTTTGGTCGGCCTTATAATATGCTGGCCAGATCTGGCCAGAACGGCAAAATTCTTGTGAACATTGATGGGTCAGTCCGAACGGTCAGTCCCAATAGGAGACTCTAGCCGTCATCAGGACCGATACATTCAAATAATGAAAAAAAAACGACCGCCATGGGATTCGAACCCCGGCTCTCCGCTATCACTTGGTTTCAAATCGAACTTGTTCGAACTAACCTACTGCACCTTTCTTGAAATGATATGTCTGTAAGAAATTTATTCGCGGTTAACTATCGGATCGGAATATTTCATTATTAATTATCATATTCATAACAGATATATACAAACGATGAACAAGGAAAAACATCTGATTCTTTGATTGACTAGCGAATTTCTGGACCTATTCATGGGTCAGACGACTTGCCTTTTTTTATGGCCGAGTTCGATGACTTTCATGACGATGATAATGCAACACGGCGGAATAGCGCAGTGTTTCAATGAACAGTGTTGCTCCCAAGGTGGCGTATGAAGTTAATAACAAACCCTATGTAAATACTTACATACCAACGAAGTTCTCACCTTATTTGAATGGAATGAATAAACATTAGTAGAAGTATATGTACTTGGTTGGTTTGTATGTACATACCAACTGGCCATCGACCTTACGAGAGGTCTTTCAGCTCATTATTGTTGGCTTCGTTACAAACTTCATACGCCATCTTAGGAGCAGCACTGTTTATTGGAACGCAGCAGCGAATCGTTCGGAATCATCTCCGGCCGAGGCTACGAAAATCATAAATATTTTAATTCATATCTCGTTTTATAAATGACCATTCTCAGCTCTCCCAAGGATCCGAACCTAGCAACCTTTCGATTTTTTGATGAATAGTCCAGCGCCTCAACCACTGCTATTCCGCCGTCTTGAAAAATAGATGCAACTGAAATATAATCATACTCTAGCACAGTGCCGGCTAGATTATAGTTAAACGATTCCAATTTGCCATAATAGATAGACGATTGTATGACGTAGGTAAAAACACGAATTGATACTGTGGGTCCAGTGCCGGTTGAATGATAGGCAAACGATTACAATATGCCATACAATGGGCCGACGTTCATCATGTACTGGGCCAGAAGGCGGCCAGAGATCTGATGTTTGCTGGGCAGATTTCACCTTCCTGTCACAAATAAGTGACACCTGGTGTAGCGAACATGTTAATGTCTAATGAAAGCACCAGAAGTTCAAATTATAACCTCCCACTAATATTTTTCAGCATTAGATGCAAAAATAAGAAAAAGGAACGAAAGAGCGAAAGAACTCATGGAACAAATTGCCTCCCAAGAACAATTATTAGCGAAGAGGAAGCTGGAAGAAGATACTCTCGATCAAGCTTTCAACCAACTAGCAGAACTTGAGATACAACGAGAAAAGCAAGCGATTAAAGATTTCACGACACAAGCGAAACGAGAGACAGCCATGTATAAGAAACATCTGAAAGAACTTGAGGAAGAGAGGAAGAAAGAAGAAAAGGAATTGGACATGTTATTGGAAACGTATAGGAAGGAGATTGAGGGAAAACAGGATGAAGCAAAGTGCAAGATATTGGAAGCTAAGAAAAAACTGCAAAGGGTGAGTGATGAATAGATGATACTTCCTATAACAATTATCCGAGGTATTTTGAGCAAAGTTAGCACAAGTCATTCGGAGAGGCAAACTTGGTTTCAATCTACTGGTAGGTACCCTAACAATGTACCAAAAAATCAGAAACACGTGAATTTATTTATTATGTGTCTCCAAATGCTTATTCGTCAACGATCTACAGAGCGTGAAAGCTTCAAGATTCTTTTATTTTTGATTTTTATCTTTCTCAGTTTTCGAGATATTCATCAGTTCCAATTTGGAACAAAGCTTACGTTATAGAGTTCACGTCATGAAGTATGCCGAGTGATTGTAGAAATGTACAGGGAAATATTTTTTCGGGGATCAAGCCCAATTTCGCTTCATCTGACGTTAGACAAAATTGAGGGACAGTAGGCCATATCAGTGTTTCTCGTCAAATAACTGATCGGCAGATTTTTTTTGTTATATAGAGAGAGAAATTTATCCGATAAAAACAGCTCTTGTATTTTTACTGTTGAAACGGGGGTGTATGTAAAAATTATGTGAATTTTTATCGCAATAAGTAAGAATATACCGAGTGTCTCATTCGAAATTAGGAAGTGGAGGTCATTTACGGTTAAACATACTCGGTGACAGAAAAAGAAACGAATACGTCAAAATTCATACTATACAACAACATTACGAATTTCATTCGTTTATCCGTAAAAATAAAAAATTTATATAGGAGTGAGGGCTGAGAAATACCCGGTATACGAGATTCTAACGAAAAAACAAACTTGGAACGCACGAATGGCACTCCCTATTATATACGCGAAACATAATGTCTACCTAGACAAGAAAGGTTAGGTATTGACATTTCTTTGAATTTCAGATGGTATAATTCTTGAGAACATTATCCTAGGGAAATGATTCCAAAGCATTGCAGCTCGATAAAAGAACGAGTCATGATAAAGAGTTGTTTACTGAGCTAGACAAGTTTGTTTGAATCATATAATACTAGTATAATAATGGAATGATAGCCGAAATATCTGAAGAACTTTTCCCGAGGAGAGGAAGAATCTACAGGAAAGTGAAAGGCATACTTTCCTGCGGTATATTAGTGAGTGTAGCAACACCAACTTGCCGAATGGCTCATCTCTGAAGGGAACCTAGTACTAAGCCGCATAATATGTGGGAACAAGCTAGATCAAGCTTTGCAGATCATATGATGAAGATGTTGAGGTTGCGTGAAGTAACTTTTTTCACGGAAGGAAAAGAGAGTTTTTGTGAAACAGCTTTCGTGCAATAGGTCAGCATATGAAAGTTGTGGAAATGGTGGTGCCATATTATATCAGGAAAATAAGTTCCGAGTTCGATTCTCTTTGTGAAATTGTACATCAACTTGAAATTGCCACTGAATTCCACCATGTTGTTGATATGTTCCTGCCAAATTATTTTTTTTATGATGGATTTCTGCCAAAAGAATATTCCATTTATTTCGTGGGATACCACAAACTGAGTAATTCTATATATCTATATATCCAGAAATAATGTAATCATATACACAATTAAGTAGAAAAATAACCATATCATTACTGCGAAGCAGATCGGAATATGATGATGAACGTAGTTATGTTTTCCAATTCAGTTATATAATCTCTATATAATATTATGTATCATGAGATATGTTATTATGTTCATTCATCTAGTTATATACTCGATAATAATCTATGTAGGTACAGTGTTGATGAAACGGCATAAGGTGCATTTAAAGTGTATAGAATGTAAAGGTTCACCAGTACTGAATTCAAATACGGATGAGAAATGAAATTGATTTCTGTCATATTACTTTGATCCCATTTTGAGGTTTAAAACTGGAAAATGCAAGGCTCTAATATTTACAGGAAAACATTTAGTCAGGCTGTGAAACCTGCTATGTTTCCGTAAAAGTTGTTGTTTCCGAGAAAAAGACAAACCACGTACTAGCCTCGTAATTCCACAGAAAAATCTCAACATCGTGTTGCTATGGAACAGCTAACGGCCGCCGGCTGTTAAACAATCTTAACGAACGGAAGCTGTTCTAGCGACCTAAAATAGTCTCAACTCTGCGACGTTTCCGCTTATATTGAAAAGTAGCAACATCTTTGATTTTTTGAATTTATTATATTATTCCATTTTCAGATTCCTCCTAAATAGCTGATTTCATCGATCTATTACACTTGGGGTTGGGGTCTAGCGGAAATGATAACAAAGATAGAGGGTGTGAAAAATCGAAATTTTTCAAGTTCAAGAATTTCTTGTGTCGAAACTATTCATAATCGCAGTCAAAACGGTTTTTATGTCCCTATCTCAACTTTTTATGTTCTATCAATTGATATCTAATTGTAATAGATACAAAGGGTGGTTGAAAATCTTAATTCTGAACCAACCTGTACCTATTTCAATTAAATATCAATTGATAGTAAATAAGAAGTTGAGATAGAGACACGGAAACCGTTTTGACCAATTATGAATTGTTTCGACACAAAAAAATCTTGAAGTTGAAAAATCTCGATTTTTCACACCCTATATATCTCTGAATTTGTCACTGCTTGACGCCAAGTATTATGAGTCAATGAAATCAGCTCTTCATTGAGAATCTGAAAATGGAATAATATACAGGGTGTTCCATTAAAAGTCAAAGTTGTTAATATAAGCAGCAACGTTGCAGCGCTGAGAATATTTTAGGTCGATAGAGCACAACTAATTATCCCAGGCACCAAATTTTTAGATTATTCCGAAGTTACGTTCTACAGTAACGTCTAATGTGCCTTCCACCGTGAATCACCCTGTATATGTTACATGAAAGTGTTGAGTTTTTTTCATTCAGATACCCGAAAGTTCTCGCTTACAACAAAGAAGAAATTATCTCATGAGAAGACGGAAATTTTCATTCGTTGTCCAAATATTCTCTATTTTGCCGTAGTAGGTTAATGTTCAATGTAAATAATGTGGCTCAAGGTCGCATCATAATAATGAGATAACGGTATTCGCGACAACTCACAGATTCCAATTAGTATCTATATAGGGTGATTCATTAGGAATTAGCCTAACATGTCTTATGAAAATGTTGCTAGTTTTGGAGATACAGGGTGTCCAATGGAAAGATTTCATTGTAAGTTTTGACAGCATGAACATAAAATTTCGTAGTTTCAGGTTTTCTGACATGAGAAATACGAATTTGTATTTTATTTTGTGAATAATTATAGAGGACGCTATCGGCACTCTGTTACTTCAGAAAATTACATTAAATCTTCTTTGTCCATTGAATAACGGAAAGTTTGGCAGCTTGTTCAATTTAATATAAGGCTGTGTCAAGTCAGTCGTCCGACCACAGTGGTAATACCAGAATGGTAAATTGTTAACTTGACTTCCATCAAAAGTTGACGTGGTTACTTTGTGGGCAGATTTGAAACGTGACCGATATTCCCAAACAGCTGGTTGGTCAGACGGATGGTCAGACTTCATACTGAACGTATGTGCCCGGTCAAACTACAGACTTGACACAGCCTAAAAATATAATATTTTTCAAATTGTCTGGCTCTAAGGGTTTTTGAGTTATTCGCATTTGGAAAGATCTGCGTTTCACTAATACAATTTTCATCAACAGTGAAAAGACAAGAGCTTTACTTTATCGGAAAAATTCCTCTTCCTAACAAAAAAAATCTGCCGATCAGTAATTTCACGAGAAACACTGACCTGGCCTACTGTCCCTCAATTTTGAAGATGAAGTGAAAATGGGCTTAACCCGCGAAAAAATATCTCCCTGAAGATTTCTACAATCACTCGGCATACTGTACTACGTGATCTGATGAATATCTCAAAAACTGAAAAAGATTGAAATGGAAAAATGAAAGAATCTTGAAATTTCAACGCTCTGTAGATCGTTGACGAATAATAGAATTTGCTGACACATTTAATAGAGACATCCAACATCCAATACATTTACATGTTTGTAAATTGATTGTTGTTGATATTGTTAGGGTACCTGCCAGTAGCGTGAAACCAAGTTTGTATCTTCGAAAGACCTGTGCTAACTTTGCTCGAAAAACCTCAGATTTTATCCCACTGATTTGGTTTTTACCCAAAACTTCTTGATGGGTGCTTCTTACGGAAAATATCAATTCATTCTTTTTCAAAGCTGTAAACATTTCCTTCAATTTGAGCCCAGAGCTTCATTTTTTGATATTTGATGGGTTATGGGTTTCAAGATAAAGGACCTCAAAAATTGGATTAGTTTTCAAAAAAGTTAGGAATTCCAGTTTTCGTCGTCTGCCGAGACTGGATATTGGCTGTACATTCTAGGAAAAACGTTTTTGGGAATAAAGTTTCAGAGCAGTTATTGAGCTCCGATTTCTGCTCAAAACGTCTGTATAGGCCTACCAGTTAGCCTAACGATTCGCGAAACCAACTACATCGAAAACACGTCGATGTTCAAAGCGGAAATATATTTCATTTCTGGAAAGTTAGTTCTACAATGTTACTCATGGAGTTTATGGAAAAAATGATCGAAGAAACATCAAAATGTGCATGTCCGCAACTACTGTGCTGATTCTTGGAATAAGAAAGTGGTATGTATAGGGGGCGGTCGAGGTCTACTTTATCGTCAGTTTCGTCGATTTCAACATGAACCACATTCAGGCAAGTCATACCTTGACAGAACTTACACAAACTAGAGCACTTCAGGCCCTGCTTGTCGGCATGAGCAGCATATGCAAGACAGGAATTCGAGGAGAGTTTGTGGTGGGGCAGGGACTGCACTGTTTAGTGAAGGAAGGAGCCCCAGGTTGCTCTTACTCCAGTCTCGAATAGATGGGTCCTTGTTCACCCTCAACCACTTCTACACCTGGTGATACGTGTGATAGCTGTGTTGAGCAGTAACTTCTATGGTTGGAATCAGACAACCCAGATGGGAAATTGAGTTGGCAGTACGTCTTACGAATAAATCGTATCGGAGGGTGTGGAGGTCATCTTATCAACCTCCTCCATGAATGGCAACCAGACTTTTTCTTCCAGCTAACTCCATATTTATTTCTCCGTGGATGGAGTCAGGCAGGAAGAACTTCGTGGACTCTTCGACGAAGTGTTAATTTTTCTGGAAGACAGCCATCATTTTCATTTTTCCTTGCCAAAAAAAGGCATAGGTGGACAAGGACAAGCTTTCTCGATTGTAACTCGTGGAAGTGGACTGTTAATAACCAGTATCACCACTACAACTTTTCTGGAAGAACACGCTGTTAACGTTGCAGCCCAGTACATTCAGGAGTACTAGTAAATCTACATCCTCTCCGGTGATAAGAACCGTTTAATTTAATGTTTTCTTTCCAGTGTTGTCTGCACAATCAAGCAATCAGAATCTTCTGTTGCTTGGTGGTGGATTTGTAAATTGTAAATTCGTGTATCTCCACTTCGAAATTGGAATTCCCAGAAGTCGAAACTTGTGCGGGTTTTGGTGATAATTCCCTGGTTTTCCATCTCGCTGTGGAGAAATTCGATCTGGTGCCGCTTAATATCTATTGTGGCATTTCGATGAGTGTAGACTCCTCTAGAATAAAATCGTTGCAAGAAGAGGTAACATACAGGGTGTCCCGAAATTAGCCTGCCAAACTTCACCAGCGGCTCCTTTGCTCAAAAAGAGAAAGAGAAGTTTCAATAAACATGAGTCAAGGAATGTCTCCTAAGGAAGCTACGGCCCCCTGAAAGGGGGCTCCTGATGATGATATTTCTTGAATATTTCCGAAACGCCACGTGATAAAATGATGCTATTCGGTACAAGATTTGAACTTACCATGCCCAATGCGGTGAACATAAAATAATTTCAAAGTTTCATACAGGAGTTTATAATACAGGGTGGGACTACATTAAATATTGCTCAATCTTTTTCGTATGCATATTTTTTGACAATCCAATCTCGGATTATGAGAATTCACACCATTTCACAAAAAAGGTGCTCTTGTTCCGCATCGATCAGATGTTTCATCATCGAGAGAAATCGATTTGAAAATATTGATGCACTCACATCTTATGCATAACGTTGCCAATTTTCAAATCATAGTGGCCTTAATAAATCAAGTACTCTCTTTTTATCAAACAATCTCATGAAAGCGCGAAAAATAGAAAAATAATGATGAAACACGACTACTTCAATTTTTGTGCATTTTTTCACTACGCCTCATTGCAATGTTAGGCATGATATCTGAGATGTAACAATATTTTTAAATTGCTTTTACTCGATGATAATACTACATCTGATCGTCACGGAACAAGAGTACCTTTTTTCTGTAAATAGGTGTGAAATTTCATAATCATAGATTGAATTGTCAAAAAATAAGCATATAAAGAATGTTGAGCAATATTCAATGTAGTCCAACCCTGTATTGTACACTCCTTATTGAAATTGTGGAATAATTTCATTTTCACTGAATTCGGCATGGAAATTTTAGTTCTTGTACCAATTCCATCTTTTTATTACATGGAGTTCCGGAAATATTCAAGAAATATCATCTTCAGGAGCACCTTTCCAAAGGGCCGTAGCTTCCTTAGGAGACATTTCTCGACTCATGTTCATTGAGAATTTTCTTTTTATTTTTGGTAGTAAAAGCCGCTGATGTTCGGCAGGCTAATTTCGGAACACCCTGTATATCGACGTAGTCTTACTTTGATGCTGGGTGCAGCACTCTCCTCAGGATACCCGTCAAAAACCACTTTCCATATAGTGCCATATCCTTTCCCTAATGGTTGAATGTTTACCTTATGTAGTTTGCTACAATAGCCCTGGTCGAGCCATCACGGCTATGGTTGGGATGTATGAAAACGCGATTTTTTCTTCGATTGAAATAAATAATACTATTTTTGCAGAAAAATTAGGTGTGCAAAATGTCGAATTTGCCACCTCTGTCAAAATTTGCCTCCATTAAACGGAAAAAATGTGTCCCATCCTGCATGATGTATGAAACATAATCACTGAACAGCCGTTCACATTTCGAGAACATTTAAACAACAATAAGTACCTCATGAATTGTAATACATAATTGCAATTATTCTCCTCAAACATTTTAATAATAACGCAATGGGCGTGTACACCTTAGTAGAACTTTTAACTCAAAATATGTTTATAATGATCCTTTAATACATAAATAATGATTGATGACATAATTCGATCGAAAAATTAACTGGGAATATTTTATTCTTGGGGATGAATATTAGTACCCTGTGAAAACGGACCCTCTTATGACGTAGAAACCTCATCTCGCCAAAGTTAAAAGAAAATACCAAACGCCCGACGGAGACTAAGGCAACTGATATATTAATTCTTTCGACTGTAATCTCGCCCTAGTTCACTCTGTCAGAAATTATGTATCATTCATCTCTGTCTGGAATAGTCTTGTTTCAGTATCAGGGTTTTGACGTCACATCATCGCCTCGTTTTCAGAGGTCCGAAAAATCGGGGATTTCAATAATTTTTTATAAAACGTAGGAAGCTCACAGCAAGAAACGGTTTGCGGTGGTGAGCTAGTTTGGATGAGCTCTATCGAATTATGAAATAAACATTTTTTGTGATATAAGCCCATTACCGCCATTGTCTTCCTCCCTTGTGTACACGCTTCCATTGGCTGAATCAACTAATTTCGTTTCCAATATAGTTTGAATTGAATTTAAAATGATGAATGGCTATAGTGTTCAAATTTATTCTCGACTAAAGAAAGACTGATATTAAAAGATTATTACAGAACGTTATGGAAGGAAGAGCAGAACAATTAGCGCACAAACGCCAACAAGCTGAGAACCAGCTGAAGCTGAAACAAGCTGAAAACGAGTTACTGCGCATGGCATTCGACAAGAACGAACGATTGCAAGCTGAAAGCGATCGTCTAGAAGCTGAAGCTGTTAGACAGTACAGAGACGATCTCAAACAGCAGATTGAATACAGCAATTTGTTGAGGGTATGTTATACACAATGAAACATTTTATCTCTATTTTTCCCATGATTCATGATCATGAACAGGCTGATAAGGGTAGATAGCACATTAGACGTTTCTGGAGAACGAGACAACGAATCACGTTGAAAATTTGATGTAGGACATGTTCGGACACTCTTTTAAAGTAACTTAAGTTATTATTTGTATGTACACTTAGACCGTGAAATATCTACATATACAGAGTGTCCCATAAGTCATGGATCAAAAGAAGTGGGGTGGTAGGGAGGGTCATTTTCGGATGTTTTCCATATCATCTGAATAAAATAGGGGTGATAGATTCTCCTTTATGTAACATAGATAATGAAATTGCGGATCTGAATCATATAATTTTTAGCTGCAGAAAATTTCCTAGAAATGATCTCTTTGAAGATCTTGTGAAGGTCGGGGCTCAGCTACCGACAACAGTAAACGTATTGCTTACTACAGGGGACAAAAACATTTTCGACATATTGGTCAAATTCATAACAAAAAACAATATTGAAATATAAACGAAAAATTTAAATTGTGTGTGGCTGAAGGACTAATGTCCATGGCCATTAGGTAAGGTAGGAGAAAAAAAATCAAACTAACCATATATGTGGTTATCCAATTGTTGATGGTTCAAAAGTTATTAATTTTCTACATTTATATATAAAAAAATTACCTGCAATAAAATTATGTCACATTTGTGATTTTTCTTCTACAAATTTTATCCACGTGGATGCACCTTTCCCCAGAAATAATGTCATGACATGTGTTACTTCTTATCAATAACCTGAGAAAAATTTTGTTTTCCTTGAGTTTTGACATGGAATAATTCAGTTGATTCTGAAATGCAGCTAGCAGATTTGAAAATCACCCCACAAAAATAACTAATTATCAGAAAAAGTTGCCCATCTGATACAGATTCTGAAATGGTATAACATGGGGTTATTCAAAACAGCCTTTCTGTTGAAAAGGAATATTCTCAGATATAATTATGAACATAAAAAAAATGGATATATGTATGAAGAAATACATTGAGAATTCGCATTCTCCATGTAATGAAAATATCAATTCAACAGAAATCAACTACTCCCCTGGCTATATGCCATGACGAACATTGAATTATATCTATTGAACATACACGATAAGAATTTGAAAACAAAATCTTCTGAAGTAGAGAATTTGCATTCTCCTTCAAAAAACAACTACTTTCCTGGCTATTTGCCACGTCGAACATTGAATTATATCTGTTGAATATCCAAAAAGTGAGCATTGAAAATGAAATTGAGAATTGACATCATCTCTCAAATCGGATGAAATAACATCGGGTGTGTTCAATAGATATAATTCAATGTTTGTCGTGGCATATAGCCAGGAAAGTAGTTGTTTTCTGTTGAATAGACCGAGAAAGAATTGATATTTTCATCACATGGAGAATGCGAATTCTCAATGTATTTCTTCATGAATATATATATTTTTTTTATGTTCATAATTATATCTGAGAATATTCCTTTTCAATACTTTCACCCAATCAAGGGGTTCAAATTTGTTATTTTTATAGACCTCAATCGCAGATTCGTGATATGGTTTTCATTTCTTTCCACGTCCTGTATGATGTATGTCAATTTATCATACATCAAAAAATAAAGCTTTTTTCTGCAACCGACACAAAAGTCGTCCATTTTGATACCAAAATTAGCTCTTAAATCGACGTTTCTATTACTGACGCAAAAATAGGTATGTTGCTAGTCAACATATTTAGTTCCAAGGAGCTAAAGTTGAATTTTAGTTCCTGGGAGCTGAAGTTGAATTTTATCTCCTAGGAACTAAAAAGGATGTACTGGACGTCATCAAGAATAAACAACATTGTGACGGTTGGTTATTTGGGTTGAGACGCATACCTGATTTGTTTCCGATTTCAGCAGATTTGGCATTTCATACCCATGCTGGAGATATAAATACACCTTATTATAGTTTAGTATTGGGATTATAAACATCTCAGTTGAGTATTTTTGTTTTGATCAGGGAAGCCTTCAAGATGCAAATACTTGCTTCATCTGTATTTCATTCGTTATTCTCGGAATGGATAACTTGTTTTTGAATAATCACGGCAAGCAATAGTTTTTTTTTTCTCAAACAACGATATTGTTTAGCTTCATTTGATTATCAAGTCAAACACAGTTTAGTATGGAGAGGAATAAATGATCACTATTATCATTGTTGATATGCTCACTAACCTAACATTTTCCACGTCTTGTTCCTATACCTGGCACTGGCGCGGTATTTGCCATTAGAGCACCTGGTCCATACACAAATATGTCACTCTGTGGTTGTATTTATATTGAAACTACAATTCGAACATCCATGAAAACCTAACCTGCTGTTAATGCAGGTAGAATATTCTCACCACACAGATTATTTGTCAATATTTGTTGCATTGCATACATATGGGCAAGGCATTGGTGGTTACTTCACATGTTCATTTGAGTAAATTGTTTCGGTTGCAGAAAAAATAGCATGTTTCATTCGGATCAAAAGTGAGTTTGTTCGACTCGCAAATTTTGCTTCCGCTCTTCTTCGCTAAACGCTCCGCCTCGCAAATGCTAAATTTGCTTGTCACTTTTGATCCTCATAAAACAATCTACTATTTTGTTACTAATTTTTTTCAAATGAGTCGTGTTTTTCAGAAAAACTGAATAACTTTTGAACCATCAAAAATTTGATAACCGCACATATACCGTTAGTTTGATTGCAAATGACCTCCCGTACCACCCTACTTCTTTTGATTCATGACTTATGGGACACCCTGTATATCATTGCTTCAAAATCAACAGCATCTCAATTCAATACATAGAGTCATAGCGTCGGTATGGAAATGACATATTGGAATATACAGTGAGGACCAAAAGTCCTGGCCGCCCCTTCCGTATATGTTCATTTTACTTCACAAAAAATGTGTTCCTCACTGAACTGGTGGTAAAATAGTCGAATTAATAATTTACTATTATTCATAATTCCAAAAGTATTAACTGTTGCGATATAAAACAACCCATCAAACTTGTTCAAAATTCTAGGTAGAATCTACAAATGCAATGATATACAGGGTGTCCCGTTTAAAAAATGAACTTCTAAGTCGCTGGGCATGTATGATACACTCTGTATGAATAAAACTGAAACCAATCAATAATTGTATCCAAGTATGTGTTTCCATTGGTCGAAAATTCTTTTCATAATGAAATATGTTTTTTCATTGGTCAAATCTATGTTAAAATGAACGATACCGATGATTAATCGGTAGCAGATATTCAATTCACATGTTATACAACACATCAGAAGTATAGAAAAAAATCAATGTTTTTGATGCCATAATCTACTGAGATTTCAAATGTGAATAAACTCCAGATATTTCATTATTATCAAAACATACATTTCATATAATGTTCACAGGAGAGAGAGAAGCAGGAGTTGAAGCGTCAATTAGAAGAAGGAAGAAAGGAAGAAGAAATGTACCAGAAAATTGTTGAGGAAATGGTTAAAGGAAATGTTGAAAGTGATGCGAAACATCCATTCAGAAAAGTATTGGAGAATTACGATTGTCGATGCACTTTCAAGTCACCATTTTGAATCTGAATAAAAAGCAAAATCAATACTCATAATGTTCCAATATAAATACTAGATTGTTTTATTAGGATCAAAAGTGACACTTTGTTTGACAAGCGAATTTTGCATTTGCGAGGCGGAGCGTTTAGCGAAGCCGAGCGAAAGCAAAATTTGCATTGAGATGTTGAGCAAGAAGTTATCATCCCAACCATGGACGTATACCTACTAAGGCAACTGAAAAAATACCTAGATTTGAATTCTCCACTGTCAGCCTATCATGCCTTATTTCAATCACATATTAACTATGCCATTATCCTATGGGGGAACTCAAAACACTCAATCCTCACCTAATAATACCCCATGTCGAGAACTTTTCATAAAACTGAAGATATTTTCATTTCCATCTTCATGCATTTTTCAATCTCTCTTGGAGATACACAAAAACTTGAATAAATTCAGCGTGCATTCCGATTTCCATGATTATGCAACGAGGGACTCTGACAAGTTGAGACCACAAAGATATCGACTAAAACTATCCGAACGTAATTCTTTGAATTTGAATTTGTTTAACAAATTACCTAAGGATGTGCGCAACCTTGACATCAAATATTTCAAAAAAGTCATCAAGGACCACTTTCTGAGATTATGTTATTACCCTGTTGAGGAATACTTCAACAGATTCATCATTCTCTCTATGAAAACAACTGAAAAAAAACATCGTTCATACAGCTCATACTTGCTTTGCAATTTACAATTCCAATTTTGTTTTTCTCTCCCTTTGTGAATTGAGGAAAAAGAATAAGTCCTCACTAATTATTGTTTTATATGTGGTACACGTCACTGTTAAGTATGTTTTATTGCCAGAAATGTACGTGTATGACTTTAATCTGCATATACTTTTAATGTGTTTTTTCTTATCTACTACATTCAATATGTCCTTTGTACTTGCCAAAAACATAAGATTTGTAAATTGGTGGAATGAATATTTTATTCTATTCTATCCTATTCTATTCTGATGGAAGTGATTTGAAAACGTCAAAGTGTCCTCTATCTACCAGTATCGTATGTACATTTGAGTCTGAAACACCCTGTATATTTGATTACTTCAAGGGAATGATAAAGTTGCCTGCAAAAATATGCCTGAAACGTAGGTGTAGTTCCTGTTATGAATTTCAAATTTCACGTCGATAATTTTCTGATTTCAATATATTGCATAGATTTATTATCTATATGTGTAACGTAATATCTACACAAACAACTAGCGCGAGATCACAGTTGAAAGAATCGATATATTAGTTTCCTCAGCCTCCGTCGGGCTTTTGGTATTTTCTTTTAACTATGGCGAGATGAGGTTTCTATATGGGGCGCCGTTTGGTTCATAATTATTTTTTTCGATATATAGACATTTTAACTCAAAATATAGAAAAAATCCTATATAATATACGAACTTATCAATATTATATGCAAAATTTCTTATATCGTGTGAAAAATGTTCTATATATTTAAGTGCGACGAAATTTCAATATATATTAGTATGCCTCACGCCGTTTGGTTCATAATTATTATTTGCAATATATAAAATTTTTACTGAATTTATATAGAAAAAAGTCTATATCAAATGCACAAATTTTATATATGACGAAATCTTTATATATTTGCGTGTCAGGAAAGTCTATATTTGCGCGTCGCGAAAGTTTATATTTGGTTGTACCAGTGTGTGCAGAAATAGACTTTCGGGTTCCAGGGTTTACCGATAGGTGGCTGAACGCGGCTGGACGTCAGCACAGAATGAGGTTAGAGGATCTGGCAACACTGATATTATTATATTCTGGTTGTGTCCAAAATACTCATCTGCCTAGAATCGAGAAGAAATGGAGAAGAATGAGAATACATTTTTCTATTTTACATAATCTTTAACCTCACAATTTTTTTTTCGAGTAAAAATGTCATTCCCAACGGTTTCAGTGGAAGTTTCTCAATGAAATTGTTGAATGTCACGATAATGTGGTGAATCTACTTTCTCAAGGAGATTCTTCAAGAGCCTCATCTCAAGCTCAGTGGAAAATTGAGGACTACTGTTGTAGGTTGTTGAACATATTCATTGATAATATACTGGCCTGTGAAAGGTTGAAACAGTTATTATCATATCAGTTTACAATATACTGTTTGATATTTATGGTCAAATTGAGCATGTTCTCAACAATGTTGATTCGCAGGACCGAACCTATGTATATTTTACTTCATCAACTAGCACTAACAGCTAACAGTGTTTGTCCCCCGAAGTATGATATTTCAAAGCAACAATTGGCAAGGTGATCGACCGTTGGGGGCGCTGTTTCAAAACAAGATGGCGGCAAAGAGTGTGTTGTTTGTTTACAAAATTTCTTGAGATTTGCATACATTTTCTTCTTGATATTTCATCGTGTTATTTGTGTTCATTGTTGAACTTTTTACTGAAATCATAATATTTTTTGTTGGATCATACTGTTTCATCGTGATGTGAGGAAAATAACTGTTACCTACTGACTGAATCGTGGACCAAATAGTCTGAGCTTTCTTCAAACCAGTGCATTTCTGTGGGACAGCTTTATGGGATATCAAAAATCACAAGCATATCCACTATCATCAGAAGCTGATATATTCACCATCATACCTCTATAACACCACTCTTCAAGCAAAAGGATCCTACAGACCACAAATGGTGATACCAGGAGTGGAGTTTTTCAACAGTGAACAGAGCCTTCTGTGAACATATTGAAAACCATCCCTGAACAATGTGTCAGCCTATTCGACTATTTTGTGCTAAATATTATAGCCATCAGAATCATGTGCAATTGATCCATACAATAGAAATCAGCAGCAACCAGCTCTAATGAGTCTAAACCAAGAAATAATTCAACACCAAGGGCATCCTGACATTACTGTGGATTTAATAGTAGATACAACCATCCATGGCCTATCTTCAACAATAATACTTCCAGGCTTTGAGGATTGTTTACAGTGCAACTACCATACCTCATATATTATGGTGCTCCACTGCAATAACAACAAATTGTCATGATCATATGTACCATGTGTGTGAATTGTATCCATATAACATACTTTTCATAATGTGAATATTCCTAATATACTTAGAGTTGAGGTAGGTGGCATCCTAGACTGAGTTTTCTTCTTGGAATTCATTTAATATCTTGTAAAGCTAGTTTTTTGACCATATTGATGAAATCATTGAATAACAAGTTGAATAATTTGGAATTCCTCCACATAAAACATTGATCAAATGACCTAGGATTTCAGTTAATGTATTTACACAGTATATCATCATGAATTTTGTGATTTCATATCATTTTGTAATTCTAAATTCATCTAATTGAAAATATCTATCTTATCAATTTGTATAGTTCATTATGTTTTGTATATTTTGGAACTGAATTAATAATAATTTTCGAAAATGAAAGTACATTGACATAACATGTGTTTTTCTGTACTTATGCCACTCCAAAGAAGTCCAGAAAGAAGTACCTACAAACAGTACAAACATATGGATATTCCAGTATACTCCTTCCCTCAGTGCTCATGTATACTGTTTTTCCCTGAATTATTTTACATGATACCTTCATAAAAATTTACAATTATGAATGATTTTGAAATCCAGGACTTTCATATATGTAGAAATGAATTAACAATGAGCAAAAGTGAGTATCTACCTGGTAGGTACCTATGTTAAAAGGAATCAGTAAAGATTATAAAGTGAAACTTTGAAATTGCCTCAAAAAAGAATGAGGTGTTGATAGAGGTAGTTTTGGGATTGAAATATGAATTTTGAAAACCTACAATAAAACATTACAAAACAGAAAAAAAAGTAGAACTTTTACCTATGAATAAATACAGTTTAATAATATCATACAAGCAGTAAAATTATGGATACATTTTTCCAAGATACAATTTGAAATGTCATGGATATGTTCAAGTACCCAAATAATCAATGATATCTCCTTGAAAACTTGAATTCACCTCCAAGGAATCTGGGTTTTGGTTTCAATTTGTGTAACTATTTGCACTCAATTGTAAGATACCCTGGATGGCAACTCCTCCCCTGCTGAAAAATTTAAGAAATGTTAGTACCTACTATAAACAAAACATATCTATTAGCTAATACACCATCTAAATATTCAAATAGAAATAGATTGTGTCACTTCAATGTATGTTCAAAGATTTAATTCAAGCTATGAAGTAAGCTACCTACATAATGACCTGCTTGTACCAGGGTTATTATATATCAATAAAATATGCTACTGTTTTTGCTCATATGAACATAATTGGGAGCTGTATTTTAACTTAATCATTTTGGAAGTACATGCAATCTGCATTGGCTATTTTACTACAAAGATGATACTACAAAATAGGAATCTATGGAGGCCTAGGCAGGATGTCATGAACAAGATTTTTATATGAGTCAAGCATTACAAATAAAACCATAAATTACCCACCTGCACAAGTTGATAATGTCTTTTTTCTTGCCCAGCTTTGTGTATTGCAGTTCAAAAGTCAAAGGCATTGAATTTGCTTCTTTATTTTTCTTATAAAAATATTTGAAAGAAAAACAACCATACTTATTTTTCCAAGTCCTGGAGACATTTCCCCATAAACAAAATAGGTATGAACTGTTGATCATTTCAATCATGTACTCTCTCAGATAGGCACTGCAAATAAGAGATATTCATCAGTAATAAATATATCAATGAATCACAAATTTACCTTATTATCATTATTGGACCAATGAAGTGAAGAAAGGTAGGAAGTTTTTGTTGGAGCTGCATACATCCAGTTTTCAAACTCATATTGGATTCTCAACGTTTATCCATTGTTTCCATTCAACTGAACTGATTTTTCATCACCAGAAAAGACTTCTTGGTGCAGGAAATTCATATTAGAGGACATATTAGAGGTCCTACATTTTTCCATTGGAACCTTCTACTAGTTCAACCAGCAACCAAACACAGTTGATTTCGCTTATTATCAGAGATTTGTTGATACTGATTTATAAAATAATATAGAATTG